AGCTGTGCCTGAGCCAAAAAAAAGAGTTAAAAACTTGGCTAGATTATAAACCTCACATTTTAAGAGGAAAATAATTATAGACTATTAAGAAGAAACCATAAAATGCTAATGTGAGAATTTTCCATGCTACTTTCTGCTTCTAACAAAATAAAATATAATCCTTAGGACATATAATGCCAACTTTTATCCTAGCTATATAAATATGACTCCAAAGCCCAGGTATGACCAGCCATTCCACCTTGCCATCTGGAATTGGTGAATGCTCATGCCTCAGGCACATATACTCAATGTAGCCACATCTTCATTCATTTGGAACAGACGGAAATTTTTTCTCAATTAACATGACTTATTATGACGGAAACTTGCATGGTTCTATATCTTGGCTGCTGTTGTTACAAAAGGCCATAAGGAGAGAGATTTCCAGCAGAAATTTGTATAGAAACTGTCAGACAGGATCAGCAAACCTGTTTGATTTCTTGCCACTAATACTTTTCAAGATATAGGACCATTGATGAGATAGAGCCTTTGATTGGATGGGGTAAGGGAAACTCAGGAAAGACCACCCTTGTTTCCAGTAGCAGGAATTGGAAAAAAAAAAAACAGCTTAGGACACTGTTACAAGATTGAGCTCCGTTCAATTCTGACCAAAGATCTGTACACACAGGCCGCCCGCTGGGCCCAGTGAACATAAACACAGTTGGTGAAACCTGGTGCTCTGTTGAGCTCCTCCAAGGGCTGCAGACCATAGTCTAAGAAAACAGAAATCCTTGTCCACATTTTGGCTAAGTGAATCGCCAAAATCCACAACTTTTCCTGGCTTCCAAGATCTGGGAAGTGATAAATATTTTCAGCTGAATAACATGCTGACTACAACTTTATTTTTTTAATTCTTTTATTGGTACATTTTAGGTGCACAACACATTTACATTTCTCATTGGGAATTGTACCTGTACATAATGCATCTTGGTTCTTATATTTTCCCCATTCCTAGCCCTCCCTTCACCCCCTCCACCCTTCCCTATTTACAAAG